ATGACAAAACTGAGGCTGTTGTACTTCAGCTACATCATGAGAAAGCACGATTCACTAGAAAAGGCAATAACGCTTGAAAAGGTAGAGGGCAATAAGAATCTCTTCCAGTTGGATAGACTCAAACAAGGAGACTACTGCCATGAGCCTTCAGGACCTGAGCAGTTCGATTGAGAACAGTGGCTCTTAGAGATATTTCATTCATGGGGTTGCCATGAGTTGGAGTTGACTTGAAGGCAGTTAACAATAATAGTGATTGTTTGAGAGGCCTAAAAATATACTCAACTCTGGTATTAGATACCCACTGAGTTTTCTTGATAAGTGGGAGTTTGAATCTGGATCATCCCACTCTCAGTCTATCATGCTAACTACTGCACCACTTCCATACAGAGATTAGTTCTTTCTGCCTGTAATATGGACAACCAGTATTTACTTCAGGGAGCTTGTTAGTTCTCAAGCTTCCCCTCTGATATGATAAACACCAGCTGTCACCATGGCAGGGGGTATGTAGCTGCAAGAAATACTCACCATGGGGAATACATGAGTTGCGATAATTTAGTTATGACTTTATTGGGGCCAAAAGTCACAGGCGAATGGACTAGGAATCTGACATTCATCTGTGCCATTTTGGTATTCTTTTTCACAGGCAGCATGGGGATTGGGCTTCTTTTTACAAACATTTATAATGCTAGATATTGAGGGACACTAACTGTGGTACATTCATAATAAAGGCAAGTGGGACTTTATGGTTGGTTTCAGCCATAGAATCACAAAACAGAATTGCTGTGACCTCACACAGGAGTAGCAATCTTTTTCTCCCCCCGTCCCCCAAGTTCTCTGTCTCTATCTCTTTATTAAGTCATTAAACATTTATTCTGGCAGTTCTGCTATCTGCTGTTTAGCTTGTGTTGCCTCCTTGCTAGTGAGACTTCCTAGCGTTTGCTGCAAACTTTGGGCATGTGGCATTTCCAATGAATGGTAATGAAGACACGCACAGCAGACGGCATGTGAGTGGCAGGCTGAGATTTATTCTGGCCTAGAGGTTTCAGTACCTTCAATTATTCCTCACTATAATCATGTCCCGCAGTCATTTTTCATGCTGTTGCTTCATTTGTGAGCTTGGTGTCATCAGTGTGCAATCATGGAAGCAGTGACTCGAAAAATCCCGGCAACTAAGTACTGACTGCCAAAGAAGATGAGCAACAAATAAATACTGCATCTTTCTAGTAGGAATGACCAGTGAGGAATCTGCAAATTTCAC